CTTATACTTTATTTCAACCCTTATAGAAATTTATTACTAGTAACGCCAATTTATCACTTATTTCGAGTAATTAATCACTTTTATTTCGAATACTTAAATTACTGTATATTATAGTATTTTAAATACTCAAAATAAGTGATTAATTGGCGTAGTGATAAATTTCTACAAGAGAATAAGGAGCCTTTAAATTCTTAATGTAAAAAATTTCAAGTAATTTTCTTTAATAAAATTTAATTAAAAAATTTAATTAAAAAATTTTTGAACACTGTGTTATATCACATTTAAAATCGTGATTATTTCAATAAAAAAACATTTTATGTGTAAAAAATATATTTTTTATATTTAATAAATTTTATATATATATGCATATATGTAAAATATTCTCTCTCTCTCTCTCTCTCTCTCTCTCTCTCTCTCTCTCTCACACACACACACACACACACACAACGGGGGCCAAATCTCTCAAATTGGTCTCATGATCAATTAGCCTGGATTCGCACCAGGGGCAAAGTCTTTTGGTCGAGTCTACGAAATTTAGCACGGACTCGAACCAGGGGCAAAGTCTTTTGGTTCAAGTCTACGAATTTAGCACGGACTCGAACCAGGGGCAAAGTGTGTCGGTAAGGGGCAAAGTCTATCGCACGAAGATGGCGGTCTCTTCTTTAGGCAGGCCTTTGGCGATCTGTCTATTAATCTGTGGTATTGTATACGTGTGAATACGTGTAGCACGATGCTACTATGTATGCGTGGTCGATGATGATAATAATAATAATGATGACGGGACGTTTCTTAAAAAAATTTTTCATATTTCGACTTTGCAATTACACAGATTAATAGACAGATCGCCAAAGGCCTGCCTAAAGAAGAGACCGCCATCTTCGTGCGATAGACTTTGCCCCTTACCGACACACTTTGCCCCTGGTTCGAGTCCGTGCTAAATTCGTAGACTTGAACCAAAAGACTTTGCCCCTGGTTCGAGTCCGTGCTAAATTTCGTAGACTCGACCAAAAGACTTTGCCCCTGGTGCGAATCCAGGCTAATTGATCATGAGACCAATTTGAGAGATTTGGCCCCCGTTGTGTGTGGTGTGTGTGTGAGAGAGTGAGAGAGAGAGAGAGAGAGAGAGAGAGAGAGAGAGAGAGAGAATATTTTACATATATGCATATATATATAAAATTTATTAAATATAAAAAATATATTTTTTACACATAAAATGTTTTTTTATTGAAATAATCACGATTTTAAATGTGATATAACACAGTGTTCAAAAATTTTTTAATTAAATTTTTTAATTAAATTTTATTAAAGAAAATTACTTGAAATTTTTACATTAAGAATTTAAAGGCTCCTTATTCTCTTGTAGAAATTTATCACTACGCCAATTAATCACTTATTTTGAGTATTTAAAATACTATAATATACAGTAATTTAAGTATTCGAAATAAAAGTGATTAATTACTCGAAATAAGTGATAAATTGGCGTTACTAGTAATAAATTTCTATAAGGGTTGAAATAAAGTATAAGAGATAAATAGGCTATATGTGAGCCGTATGCGAAATGTGAGATGTAAGACGCATATTGAAATTTAATTTTTCGATATAACTTTCAAAAATGTACACGAGGTACAAAAAATTAGCTTGGACATTTGTAAGACTTAAAATTGGGATTAATTCTCAATTCTATTAATTAAATTTCGATATAACACACCTTACATCCGCGCACGGCTCACATATATAGCCCATTTATTAGTGCAATTTTTAAGTTCCTTATTTTTCAAAGTTCACCTTTTTACGTTATCAAATATTTTTACGTTTTCAAGAATTTTATATTTTTACTTACCGCAGTTTCTTATCCAAATGTAAAATCTTTTATCGCAGTCTATAAAAAATTGAAACAATTTACAATTTTATGATATAATATTATTATTATTACAATTTCTATATATATGCACATCTGTCAAATATCGTGATTTATTTCACATTATTATTATCTATTTTAATAAAAAAAAAACAAAACACTTGCAACAATCAAAAATAAACCGCCTGCCGCGAACGGAAAATGCCAAGAAAGCACGCAATTTCCGCGAATCTCGTAATTTTTTTGAAAAATTAACAATTTCAATACCAGTACAAATAATAAAGTAAAAATATTAAATAATTTATGTTTTCGAATTTTGCTCGCGGAGAGGATCTTTAAAACAAGATTTTTAGAAGAGAGGACCTTTAAAATATAAACAGGCAAAAACGTTGGAAAAATTAAAGCGCGCGTTTAAACAGATAAACGCAATGAAATAAATACGCAATTGTTTTTACTTATCGCTGTAAGCTCACAAGCTTCTGACGTGCTATACACTTTTATATAATATATACAAGGTGTCCGGTAACTAACGGACCAATGATTAAGGGCGGATTCTCTGGCCAATTTGGAGACGATTTTTCCTTAGCAAAAATGTTGAGAAGTCAATAATTTTCGAGTTATAAGCGATTGAAAAAAATAGGTTTTTTGAAAACTAAACGTTTTGGAGTTAAAAGTCTAACATAATTACATTCTTCAGTTAATTTCAGGTAGAGTTTACTATAATAAAATTTTAATTTAAGGCTTAGTTATAAAGATACATAATGACAAAGATTGGAAAGTTGTAAAAAATGATGACCTTTTTCGACATTTTCGCTGAGGAAAAATCGTTCCCAAATTGACCAAAGAATCCATTTGTAATCATTGGTCTGTTAGTTACCGGACACCCTGTATATTGGACACGAGTTTCGTTTGTTTCAGATTCTCGAGAGTTGAAGTAGGAACATACGAGTATCATATATCGTTTGTGACTTGCCGAATGAAAGCAAGACAGAGAGCGAACGAGATGATGAGCTTAATAGCTCATAATGTTATAAATAAATAAATAAAAAATTATAACCTGACCTACTAGTTATTGAATCTTTTTTTAATAAAATGTTTCATTATTATTATCATCTAAGTCTAAGTCGTTTAATTACTTTTTAGTTTTTTAATAATTAATTTAATTTATTCTAGTCATTTTTATATGAGAAAAATAATATCACGTATACGTTTTATAATGAATTAATATATTTCGGGAACCGAATTATATATTCTTAATAATATAAAAGTGTTCAAAAATTATATTTGACTTTTAATTTTAATTATTTTATAGCAAAGAGTTCCGAAATCTCTTACACACATAATGGGGATTTTTTTCATCCATATAATTCGCAATTAAGTATATATGTTAATTATTAATTTTAATAAAATAAAAATTAAAATTAAAGGTCAAATATAATTTTTAAACACAAATATATTAAATTAATTATAAAACGTATACCCATGATAGTATTTTTCTCGTACAAAAATAATTAGAGTAAATTAAATTAATCATAAAAGATTAAAAATTAATTAAAGAATTTAAACTTATATTTTATATAATAATAATAAAACATTTTATTACGTCAAACCGTCGTGAAATAATTAAATAAAATTTGCTAGTTACGTCAAAGTCAAGTTTTCTAAGCTTATAAAACATTTTATTAAAAAACAGATTCAATAAATATAAGTACATGTTATATATATACTTATATTTATTGAATCTGTTTTTTTTATAAAATGTTTTATTATTATCATATATAATATAAATTATTTAATTATTTTTTAATTTTTTTATGAGTAATTTAATTTGTTCTAGTTATTTTTGTACGAGAAAAATACTATCACGGGTATACGTTTTATAACGAATTAAATATATTTATGTTCAAAAATTATATTTGACCTTTAATTTTAATTTTGTATTTTATTAAAATTAATAATTAACATATATACTTAATTGCGAATTATATGGATGAACAAAATCTCTATTATGTGTGTAAGAGATTTCGGAACTCTTTGCTAAAATAATTAAAATTAAAAGTCAAATATAATTTTTGAACACTTTTATATTATTAAAAATATATAATTCGACTCTCGAAATATATTAATTCATTATAAAACGTATACGTATTAGTATTTTTCACATATTAAAATGATTAGAATAAATTAAATTAATTATTAAAAAACTAAAAATTAATTAAACGACTTAGACTTAGATGATAATAATAATGAAACATTTATTAAAAAATAATTATAATAGGTCAGGTTAATATTTTATTTATTTATTTATTTATAACATCATAAAATTCTGTCCTTTCCGAAATACGCGAACGCTACGAAAAGATAAATCTCGTACATGCCGCCGGACGAGTTCATGAGCATGAGACGCTCTTATCTTGGGAACGTATTAATAGTTACTGCATTGACCACTACTACGATATGGCGCTGAAATCAGTGAGAAATGCTGGTCTCTCCTTCATCCAGACCTTTGGCGATCTGTCTATTAATCTGTGGCAATTATATATCTCTGCTTACAAATCACGTAGAGCAGAAATAAAAACACTTTTATTATATAATTCAAACTCAATCTATCGATTAAGTCTAGTATAACTCGATTGCTTCAGCCGTTATTGAGAATTCGAAATATTATAAAGACTCAAATGTCCGACTCGCGTTAAGATACACGGTGTCTCGGCTACGCCCTTAACTGGTCGCGAGACACTACCGTGTCTCTTGATTAATGTTCATTTTTAATGACGTCAATTTGCTACTTGAAATGGCTCTGAATATTATATTCTAGATAATTTTTAATAAAAATAACACTTTTTTCATCTAAAATGCAGATTATATATATATGTATATATATACAGTTTTATTATCTAATATAATGATAAGATAACGTCAAAATTTCAACTATATATATATAATTTTATTTAGATAACAGCAAACACTGTTCGTTTATAAAAAAAAGATATTGAGGTCGTCATTTAAAATAGTACACCCTTTGTGTATTTTATATATATATATATATATATATATATAGTATATAATAGTATATATTATATGCGTATAAATATAAAGTATAAATGTGTATGTGTATGTGTTTATATGCATAGATATATGCGTGTATGTGTGTGTGTGTGTGTGTGTGTGTGTGCGCTGAGTCTTGTGTGGTTACGCGGTACACAAAATTGACAATTCTTTGATACACTTTTTCGGGCGGTAAAACGAAGAGGAGAGGATTGCAGAAGACCGATACGGAGGCTCGTCGCAGGAAGCGAGACAATGTAATGTGGAATCGAGATCGGCTGAAACCGGGGCCGTAAACAGCCGGTTAGGGTTAGGTTGTCTCGTCAGGGTGACGTTGGGGAATCGGCGGAATTTCGCTTATCGCACCTCGACACCTGTTAACGCGAATCTTTCTTCGCACTCGGCGTACTCTCTCGTTCCGTATCGAAACAGAGAGATAGTTTTAAATGCATTAGTGCGTGAAGTCGGCTTCCACGATTTCCGCCTGGTAACTATATTATTCTATATTTTTTTTCTATTGGAAAAGGAAGAATTTTAAATAATTTTGTGTCTTTTTTCACATCTTTTTTACACTCGAAAATTTTTGTCACTTTATAATTATTTGTCATCATATGTCACTTCATAATTCTATAAAAATTTCTAATTGTTTTATGACAAGCTGAAAAAAATAATGTCATTGTAAAACTCGAATAAGTCAATTCATAATTATAAAAATTTCTAAATATTTTATGACAAACTGAAAAAAAGTAATTTGTAAATATAATGTGAATATATCATTTGTAAATATATGTGAATATACACAGTAATGTCAACTTAATATTTGTTTAATTGTGATAGAAAAAAATATAAATGTATGTAATTTTACAGGGGACAAGTATTTGAATGCGATGTCATGAGAAGAAGAAAGTAAGACAAGATGAGTTGTTCTGTAGAATTACGCCAGCGTAGACAACAGGGGATGGCGGAGGATCCTCATAAACTAGCGGCGATGATGAATAAATCTCAAAGACTCGTACTGGGACTTTTAATTCTACTGCTGGTTGACATAATTTGGGTGTCAAGCTCCGAACTTACAAAAGTAAGATAAAGTTCTTTATATATGTGTTACTTATATATGTTTACAATCTTTCCTATCGCTGTTTCTCTCTTTTACCATTATTACACATTCACATTTACTACCTATTGCATTTTTTTTAACTTCTCATTCAATATTAAAGAATCTATTTCTACTAATAAGATAAAGCTCTGCTTTAGACAAGCAAATGACTTATTATTAAAAGCACTTGATAAGGACTAAAAAATTTAATAGTCGAAAGGTGTTTGAATTAATAAAGGAACATTCAAATTACATGCCAGTTTTTGGTTGAAGAAAATATCAAATCTCAATTTTAAAGAATTTTAAATACAGGGTGTCTTATAGGAAATTACTGAAACTAATCAGCTGTCACTTTTTTAATGCATGCAATTATTGAGAAAATAAAATTGTGTTGAAAAGTCTGCAGTTTTTAATGGATATAATAAAATGTTTGTATACCAGTTTATTTTATTGAAAAAAGTGATGAAAAAAAGTGCTAATAATCATATATGTAAACTAATGATAAATATTTTCAAAGTGCGCACTATTTGAATTTGTACAAAATTCTGTTCTTTTGCAAAAACTCGTAAAAATTTTTTAACATGTTATTTTTAATGTTATTGACAATCCTTTTAATAACTGTTATTAAATCTGGCACTGTTGAAAATATTTATCATTAGTTTATGTGATTTTATGTGATTATTAGCACCATTTGCATTACTTTTTATCAATAAAATAAACTATACACACATTTTATTTATAGCCATTCAAAACTGCAAACTTTCCTCTTTCCCATACAATTTTTGTTTTCTCAATAACTGCATGCATTAAAAAATGACCATCTGAGTAGTCTCCTGAGCATTTCCTATAAGACACTCTGTATTAAAGAATTTTATTATTACATGTGCAATAGATAAACTTATGGTAATAATGTATGTTGTTTTTTCAGTATATTTATAGGGATGCAACCTTTAAAAAGCCATTTTTTAGTACATATATAAGGACATCTATGTTTACATTTTATTTGCTCGGCCTGTGCTTTTGGCCACCTTGGCGGGAGCAATGTAATAGACCTGCAACATATATGGTATTTATTAGAATACAAGAAATTACATGAAATATCACTCTTTTTATACTATTTAAAAATTTACATACACGTTGTTCTTTTACAGTTCATAGATCCTAACATTGAAGATGACAATTTCTATGTGGAAGCTAATACGAGTCTAGTAAGCATAAAATTATTATAAATATAATCAATTTATTTTGTACATTTATGTTGAATTTTTTCTCATATCAAAGAAGGCAATAATAATTTCGTCCGCACTGCATTTAATTGAGACATTTTTTCCTAATTGAATTGGGGAAAAAATGTTTTAATTATATAAATAAAATAAAGTATTTGCAATATTAATGAAGGAATATAAATATTTTATAAGTAGATTCGAATTGGTTTGCATAGTTTTAAGCTCTATATGATTATTTAAAAAAGGAATAATACTTTTAAGTAAACTTGAACCTGAATAAGATAGATTCGAATCTTTTACTTGGAAATTTTACATTATTTTAACTCAAAATATTTTCATATATCGCTTTTTTATAATAAAAAACTTTTTCACAACAATAAGAAATATAACAAAATATTTAATAGATAATTATATCAAACTTTTTAGAGATTAAATACTAACTTGTAAAAACTTTTTATTTAGATAACAGCAAAGACTGATAAAGACTCAATAATATTTTTAACTCATATAGAAGAAAACCGTTTTTATAGAACCATCTTTCAAGATCTTTTTATTATAAAAAATAAAAATATTTAAAAATCTTGGAAGATCTATGAAAATGATTTACTTCTACATGTATGAGTTAAAACGAACGAAGCGACTCAATAATACTTTGCTTCAACTCAACACATTCTGTTGCAGAGCGATCCAACATTTGTTCCCATAAAAACACCGGATCATTGTGACCGCTCGTCGGGTACAGAAAGCGACGATTCGTCCATCCGTTCTGTGAGATTTAGTAAACTGGCCGAGGTGCGTCATATGTCGGAAAGCGATGCCACGGAAGCTCTATTGGCACGGCTCAGTTATCAAGCCAGCGTCAGGGCTGGGGAACACGCAAGACGGCAGGCCAATAAATTCTCTGTACAAAAAGTGGCCAAGATAGCCCTCATGTTCTGCTTGTTTGTGGGTAACATAATGTAAAATTCAGTCGAATAAATTATCATTTGCCACTATCGCGTCATATATCATCTATATGTTGTCTTCTTCTAGTGGTTCATGGCAAATTACCTGTACCAGATATCGTTGGAGCTGATCGAGGATAAAATCGTGGTCGTACTGTCGTCGACGTCTAGTTTATTCACTTTATTTCTCGCCACTTTCTTCCCCAGTAATGGAGGGATAAGATTACCCTGTCCAAATTAGCTGCCGTACTTGTCAGCATCCTTGGACTAGTAAGTTACATTTAATTTATTAAAGGATTTCAACTTATTGTTAGAGATAGGGGACTAAGAAATGTATCCTTTTAGGATTAAAAATTTGTGTAATATATCTCAAAAAAATATTGTTCTTCATTTACAGATATTAGTCGGCATCTCGGATTTAACTGTAAAAAACAATAGCATGTCGATGGGCATAATATTAGCTCTAGTCAGTGCTTTTTTTTATGCTGCGTATATCGTATTTTTAAAGAGAAAGGTAGATCACGAGGATAAGATGGATATACCAATGTTTTTTGGTTTTGTGGGAATATTCAATTTAACGCTTCTGTGGCCTTTATTCTTTATCCTTCATTACGGTCATTGGGAGGAATTCGAATGGCCCAATAGTCACCAGTGGACATTCCTAATTATAAACGGCCTGATTGGTACAGTCCTAAATGAAGTTCTTTGGCTATGGTAAGTGTAGTCAATATTTGTGATACTTTATTTTGCGTATATAACATTAATTATTATATACGCAAATAAAGATACAATAAATAATATTTATTATAATTATTTTTATTATAATATTTATTATAATTATTTTTAACATATATAAGATAGGCAATAAGAGCCAAATCGCGGATGACAGTGCGTTATTCTAAACGAAACTAAATTTTTTCGTTAGAATTAAATACCTGTGCACAAGGCACCAATTTTTACTTGGACACGGCCAAGATATAAAATTGGAATAATCTCTGCAAGAGATTTTTAATTCCATGTATCCCCTATTCCCCCTAAAGAAATAAAGTGCGAGAGAAAAATATAGATCCGAAAGTCGCAGAATCGGGAATCGAACCCGAGACCTTTCGCTTGCCGGGCGACTGCTCTTCCAACTGAGCTATTCAGATCCTTTCGATTCTATACTTTTCTCTGTTATATATATTAATGTTGGTAAATAAACGCCTTTAAGCCAGCGTGTATAAATTAAGAGTTTAACTAGGCTCTCTAATATATAAATATAAATTTAACATATATAAGATAGGCAATAAGAGCCAAATCGCGGATGACAGTGCGTTATTCTAAACGAAACTAAATTTTTTCGTTAGAATTAAATACCTGTGCACAAGGCACCAAATTTTTACTTGGACACGGCCAAGATATAAAATTGGAATAATCTCTACAAGAGATTTTTAATTCCATGTATCCCCTATTCCCCCTAAAGAAATAAAGTGCGAGAGAAAAATATAGATCCGAAAGTCGCAGAATCGGGAATCGAACCCGAGACCTTTCGCTTGCCGGGCGACTGCTCTTCCAACTGAGCTATTCAGATCCTTTCGATTCTATACTTTTCTCTGTTATATATATTAATGTTGGTAAATAAACGCCTTTAAGCCAGCGTGTATAAATTAAGAGTTTAACTAGGCTCTCTAATATATAAATATAAATTTAACATATATAAGATAGGCAATAAGAGCCAAATCGCGGATGACAGTGCGTTATTCTAAACGAAACTAAATTTTTTCGTTAGAATTAAATACCTGTGCACAAGGCACCAAATTTTTACTTGGACACGGCCAAGATATAAAATTGGAATAATCTCTACAAGAGATTTTTAATTCCATGTATCCCCTATTCCCCCTAAAGAAATAAAGTTTATACCTTGGCCGTGTCCAAGTAAAAATTTGGTGCCTTGTGCACAGGTATTTAATTCTAACGAAAAAATTTAGTTTCGTTTAGAATAACGCACTGTCATCCGCGATTTGGCTCTTATTGCCTATCTTATATATGTTAAATTTATATTTATATATTAGAGAGCCTAGTTAAACTCTTAATAATTATTTTTATTATAATATTTAATATATTTAATATTATATGTATTTAAAATTATTTTTATTAATGTGTTTAATATTTTATATACTTAATATATAGGTAATATATTACATTATATGTATAAAATAATATGATATATAAATAATGTAATTTATAATTATTATAATTATTTATTATAATTATTACACTTATTATGATTATTATAATTTGTAATAAGAATAGCTCTATGAGTTTATATAATGGGATTGTGTGTATTTATTTTAATTATATTTCTATAGGGGTTGCTTTTTGACGTCGTCTCTAGTAGCGACAATGGCTGTAAGCTTAACAATGCCCATGTCAATGGTAGCTGATGTCCTTTTGAAAAAAGTTGAATATCCCTATATTTTCTATTTTGGAAGCATTCCAATGTTTTTGGCATTTTTGGCGGTGTCCCTTTTATCTTATTATGATAATTGGGATCCTGTTATGAACATGATGAAAAGATTTTTTATCTGGATTTGCAGAAAAAACAGATCTACAAGGTAAACATATAATGAATGAATCAACTTATGATATTAATGTAAATATGGAATAATTATTATAATAATTGTTCAGGTATGCATTATGCAAATACATGAAAGACGTGAGAAATTAATGTTTCAATAACATTGAATTTATTTTCAGAATTCCAGATCTTGAAGCGGAACAAACAGAATCCTTAATAGGGATAGATAGCGGTGATCATGAAGCTTAATAAGACAATAACAAGAGAATCAAGAACACGGTAAAACATCTCGTATATATACAGGGTTTCCCTGCATTTACCTAACCGACAAATTACGAGAGAATATTCTATAAATGGAAATAAGAAAAAAATGTTATACAGGGTATTTTATAGGAATTGCTGAAACTAATCAGCTGTCATTTTTTAATGCATACAGTTATTGAGAAAACAAAAATTGTGTTGAAAAGTGGAAAGTACAGTTTTTAATGTATATAAATGTATATAATGTATATAAATAAAATGTTTGTATATCAGTTTATTTTATTGAAAAAAAGTAATGAAAAAGGTGCTAATAAAATTACATATGTAAACTAATGATAAATATTTTCAAGGTGCACACTATTTGAATTTGTACTTTTTTCTAACATGTCATTTTTAATGTTATTGACGATCCTTTTAATAGCTGTTATTAAATTTGGCACTGTTGAAAATATTTATCATTAGTTTATGTGGTTTTATATGATTATTAGCACTTTCTTCATTAATTTTTATCAATAAAAAACTGGTATACAAACATTTTATTTATATCCATTAAAAATTATAGCACTTTTTTCATTACTTTTTATCAATAAAATAAGCTGGTATACAAACATTTTATTTATATTATCCGTTAAAAACTGTAGACTTTCGTCTTTCCAGCACAATTTTTGTTTTTTCAATCACTGTATGCATTAAAAAATGACAGCTGATTAGTTTCAGCAATTTCTTATGGAATTATTCTGTATGTGAAGTTTGGCTTTATTACAAAGAAACAAATATTGAAGTAGAACATGAGAAATAGGCAAGAACGGGTTTTCCACTGCAAAAAACATTAATAGAACAATTTAGTAACGCATTTCAAAATATTATCCTTGTGCAATAATAAGCTCGATTCGATGTAATGCGGAATTTAAATAATGGAATTATTGAGCTACAGCCTGTCAAACAACTCGAATTTCATTGTTTTATTGATTAAATCAATAACTCTCTATTCTAGTTTTGAGACTTTCGCGGCCATTGGAATCATCAATGCAAAAGGTTTCCGGATGGATGCCGCGTGGTTTAACAGCGTAATGCCATTTCGCAAACGTTGCAGTTTGCATCTTCAGGGCTGAGAGCTCCGATATTGAGCTTTCTTGGGTTATGGTCCTCATATATATTATGGGAGGTTTTTCATCTACGGAAAAGTATTCCGTTATGACGCCGCCTAGTGGTGTGAGTGTATATTAAGGGTAGTGTGCTAAATAGGATTTGTTTGATAACCTTTGTCACGGTTGAAGTTGTCGGGATGTTTCAGAATTTCTAGGGCTTCACGATGTTTCCTGGCGAAATAGCTTTGCGAGGAGGCTAGTCTGGTTGCTTTGTCATATTGTACCGAGTGTCCCGTCTCCATCCAATGTTCTGCCAAGACTGATTGACTAAAATGACAGTACCTGGCACTCCGTTGGTGTTCCTTAATTCGTGTACTGATTTTTCTCCCAGTTTCTTCTATGTACACTTTTCCGCAGGAGCAAGGAATCCTGTATACACCTGGTGTTTCTAAGTATACAGGATTCCTTGCTCCTGCGGAAAAGTATACATAGGAGAAACTGGGAGAAAGATCAGTACACGAATTAAGGAACACCAACGGAGTGCCAGGTACTGTCATTTTAGTCAATCAGTCTTGGCAGAACATTGGATGGAGACGGGACACTCGGTACAATATGACAAAGCAACCAGACTAGCCTCCTCGCAAAGCTATTTCGCCAGGAAACATCGTGAAGGCCTAGAAATTCTGTAATATCCCGACAACCTCAACCGTGACAAAGATTATCAAACAAACCCTATTTAGCACACTACCCTTAATATACACTCACATCACTAGGCGGCGTCATAACGGAATACTTTTCCGTAGATGAAAAACCTCCCATAATATATATGAGGACCATAACCCAAGAAAGTTCAATATCGGAGCTCTCAGCCCTGAAGATGCAAACTGCAACGTTTGCGAAATGGCATTACGCTGTTAAACCACGCGGCATCCATCCGGAAACCTTTTGCATAATAACTCGCTATTATTTGTGTTTGAGCCTATTTTTTTTATTTAGCAGATCATAATCATAAGCTTCAAATAATCAAGTTTCATATATAAGAAAAATCAGCTGATTTTATCAAGATCTAATTTTATATAGGGTTTAATGCAAGATTTTTTTAATCTAAACTTTGTAATAAAGCATTTATAGCCAAACTTCATATAACATTTTTTTTTATTTTTACTTGTAGAATATGCTGTCACAATTTATCGGTTAAATTATGGGCCATCCTGTATGTATATACAATATATATATGTATGTCGTCATAATAATAAGATTAATAAGCGATTCTTTCTGAGATATATATACACGTCCATCGGCCGTGAACATCCGTTTCCATTTATATATCTCAATGTCAGTTGTGTTTTATATTTATATGCTGATATAACGATATAGTCATACATAAGAGATATTCCACTTTTTCTCTACACGGATTTCAATATATATCGCTTTATTTCGCATTAACATTACAAAATAATATTACTGCCGGACAATAACCATTGTGGGTCAATTTATAAACCAAAAAATGCAATTAACACGTTTTATTTTTTCGAGTCTCTATTTCTGAAACTACCTCTGTAATTTTTACCGAGTTATCATATGAACAAACGTTCTATGTTTTCGTAAATTCTGCCAATTAAGATCTGGTATGTAACTATTTCAAAATTATGTATTGTAGTTTGAATCTTGCGCTGACACCCTATTCTATGTAATCAGATATTCATAAAGAGCAAGAAATTCAGTGTCTTTAACAACATCTGTATATATAGTATATAATACGAGTTGATTGAAATCAAAGAAATATTAGTTTTAAGGCTATACTTTAAAAAAATATTTTTATTGCTATTAAGGCTTATAAATATATATATATCATTGTAACATGTTAATGATTAATGAATAGCTTATTGGTGATGATGGATAGTATTTTGTGCGCAAAAAGCTCTTGTACGGGATATACTTAGTGCATTCTGTACTTATTATTTTTAGTATTTGGCTAATTTTAAACAGAGTATTATACACAGAATGGATATATATATGTATATATATAGTTTTAATAAGTAAAAATTAATGGAAAGAGAGTACTATTGTGCCGTACTCTTTGGACCAAAATGAAAAATTTGATGATAGTAAAAAAAAGTCATTCATAGAGTAAGAAAACAAAATTTTGTATTTGAAAACAATAATTTGAGAATTGTATTACATTTCAAACGTCTAGTCAAAACACATCTGTCGGATCATATATTTCAATACGGCGAAATAACAAAATATAATTTTATGATGTATAATTTGATAGTTTTATACAAGTTGTGTAATATGAGTTTCTTTTCCTATTGTTTAAGAAATAATTTACATTTGTTTTGTTCTTCGTTTCAATATAATTAATACGCACAAGTTTCACTATGTTGTGTTCAAATATTAGAAAAGGTATATAAGATGGGATAGGAGGGATTTGTGAAACGAGAATAAATATTGTATTTGTGAATTTTGAAACTCAGCATAGAAAAAATAATTATGTAAAAGGATGAATATGTATGACAAGAAAATCAAGATACATGTTTTACCACAATTTTCCGCAAAATTTAATCATGTATCACACAATCAAAAATTCGTGTGCTATCTTCGAAAATTAATACATCTTGACTGATCTCGATTGGATTGAATAAGGCATTATACTACAGGGTGTTCCATAGGAAACTGTTGAAAATAATTAGCTGTTATTTTTAATGCATGCATGTATTTATTGAGAAAACAAAAATTGAAAATGTTGAAAAGAGAAAAGTCTACAGTTTTTAATGGATTTAAATAAAATGTTTGTATACCAGTTTATTTTATTGAAAAAAGTAATGAAAAAAGTGCTAATAATCACATATGTAAACTAATGATAAATATTTTCGAAGTGCACACCATTTGAATTTGTACAAAATTCTGTTCATTTACGAAAACTTGTAAAAACTTTTTCTAACATATTTTTAATATTATTGACGATCCTTTTAATAGCTTTTATTAATAGTTTTATTAAATCTGGCACTGTTAAAAATATTTATCATTAGTTTATGTGATTTTATATAATTATTAACACTTTTTTAAATTACTTTTTGTCGATAAAATAAACTGGTATACAAATATTTTATTTATGTATTAAAAACTGTAAATTTTCCTCTTTCCAATACAATTTTTGTTTTCTCAATAACTGCATGCATGAAAAAAATGATAGTTATTAGTTTCAGCAATTTTCTATGGGACACCTTGTATATCGTATTTTTATTACAAGTGTATTTCCTGACTTTGTAAAAAGGATGTATATCTATATTATATAGTATTGGTAATCTGTGTAGAAGGAGAAAAAAGACCCAAATAGCAAGCACACGTCATTTTAACGTCGAATGACGTCAAAATGATATCATTTCGACGTTTAATAACGTCAGTTTGTTTCTTTAGGGGAATATTTAGACAAATTGTGGGAAAAAAGTTGCAATGTGTGTTTGAAGAAGAAGAAAATGAGAGAAAAGGGATAGTTGCAATGTTAGATTAATGATGTGATATAAAATATATAATTACGGTGCGTAAATTATATTTAAAAAATTATACTTTAGTGTATATAACACGATCCATTAAATTTATCGACGGATATTATTATAATTGATCGTTCCTGTATAATATGTTATAACCAGACTTGAAATTCATAGTTTATGTATCGGCTAATGTCTCCTCTGCATGGAAGATACTTTTCCTTCTTTAACAGAAATTATATGTTTATTACAGAGATATTTGTTAACTTTTCGTGTATAACTTCTATGCGAAATTTTTAACAAAGATGATACTGCTCTTGAAACTCAAGACTGGCTATAACTATGTTTAACTGTATATTCTGTGTAAATATCGCATTATATTTTAAAATTAAACTTAGAGTTGTATACATATATAAAAATTATGTGATAATAAAGTATATATAATCCTTAACAATCATTTTTACACTGATCTCTGTATAACACTGGTGGCGTATTTAATAAGATATATAACGTGTTACGAATTGACAATCGGGCAGTCATTTTTAATAAAATATGCTATAAATGTATATATTTTATATTTTAATTTAAATGAATGATACCCCTAAGTTCGAAACTTTTATGTCGATGTGTTAATTTCACACACCAAAAAATGCATATTTTACTGTATTTGAAGATCATTGCTGGACCTTCAAAGCGTAATACGCTTTTTTCATTTTTTTCATAGTATACGCTATCCAGTGTTATATAGAGATCAGTGCATTTTTATATCTATATATATGTATATATATATATATATGTCTATAACAATCGCGATCTAGAAATTGCCCTTGGGTGGGCATTTTTCAAGGCCATTTAAAGGTCAATTTATTTTTTTAAAATAAAACTAATTTTTGTATATAAATCGATTTCTCGCAATTAAAAATTATAAAGAATAATATATATACTTATAAGGGTGATCTAGAAATTGCCCTTGGATGACATTTTCCAAGGTCATTTAAAGGTCAACCTAGTTTTTTAAAATAAAGCTAATTTTTTTATATAAATCGATTTCTCGCAATTAAAAATAATAACGAATAATAATTCTGAGACAATTGACTCTCGACAAACAAAGCAATTTATAACTCGGTGACGTAGAAGGCGCTCGATGTTGAAGGAACATGTAACATTGACATGTATAATTGTGCAGCGCATCTATTTTTTTAGGCTAATGTATCAAGTGAGATTTGATTTAATGACGTAGCACGACATTATTAATCGGGGAATTCTAATGCCCGTAATTATATATATTTCGTGATATGGCACGCGACAACGAAACAAGTGCACTTGAGTTGCATATAAAGGGTAAATATATATATATATATATATATATATATATATATATATATATATAAATATATATATATATATATTTATATTTATATTTATATTTATATTTGAAAGATATTGTATACAAGAATATAATATATTAATAAAATATTCTAGATAGTTTTTAAGGTATAATTTTTTTCTTTTTTAGTAAACAGGCAAAATTTATCAACGATCTCGGAAAAATATAATATCGGCACATTACGGTAAGCATATTTTAAATTATTAATTATTTGTTAATTATTATTTAATTAATTATTTATTAATTATATACGCGATATATCGCGCGTATGTATTATTAAATATTAAATAATAATTGTGAATAAGCGATGGTAAAATTTTTATTTGCTCTCTTCAACAACAACGATTAGACCTCCTTCCGATCTGTCATGGCCTAAAATACCTCTACGTCGTTTAAATCATAACGTCGATGATATTATCGAACCTCCGTGTATGGTTACTGTAATAGGAACTCCTAGAAAAAATCGCAGTATAATGCAAGCTGGTACGTGTCAGTAAGTATATTTTTCAAGTTTAATTTTAATTAAATATTGATAAATAAAATTAAATATTGAAAAATAATATAGAGCGATTTATTTTAATTAAAAAAATATAATTATTTTTAAGAGGAGATGAGAACTTTCACACAAAATTGGGCTATTAAATAGAAAAATTTTTGAGGGACTTAAAATTCTTTATTCGATAGCCAATCACGTTACATTGAGTATATTTGTACTTTCTTGTTAAAAAGTTCTCAATATATATATAGCTGCTAATTGTAAATTACATATATATTTTCTTAAAAAACAACTGTTTTTTATCAATTAATTTCTTTCATTATTTTGTGTATAAAATTATATTGAGGTAAGATATAAAAAAAGGAAAATATATATATATATTATATAGAAATATTAATTTTATAAATATTGTGATTAAATCTAAGAAAATATCGCTTATATATATTCTACACACACACACACACAAATATATGTATATATATATATATATATATATATATATATTATATATATATACTCTTGTTTTTTCTGTTTCCTTTTTATTTCAGACACACTAGATCGAAATTGAATCAAAAGTATGAAATACCCACGCACATACCGAAAAGATTGCCTGGTTCTACAGATCCACGTTTTAAAAGGTATATTATATTCTAATTAATTTTCTCATTAAAGTCCGCGTTTTTGAGCTACGGATTCTTTTATACGATATGAAAAACAGGCCTGCATAGTTTTAATGTTTGAGAGCAAATGAAATGGTTTCCTAAATAATTTTGTGCGTCTGAATCCGAATCTGGCTTCAGAATTGGCCCATATCACATCAGGTTTTCAAGATAAATAAGATCAACAAAGGTGGCAATAAAAATAACAATGTTTTGGCTAACTTTTATACATTTTATTTTATGTAGACACCAATATTTTTACATATATTTATAGGCGCAAAATTACGTAGAAAAACTACTTCATTTGATCAAATATGTTTTAAGATATGCACCAAATATATGATTTTATCTTGTATAATTTTGATCTGTGTTTGATATTAACATATTCCATATTGTAATTAACATACAATTTGTAACGTGATAATACAGACCGATATCGACGCGACAGAAGGCCGAGAAGTCAGATGAATCTTATTGTGACACAATGAAGAATGGCAAACAAATGGTGGAAATGAATATGCATGCTTTGCAAGAACTTAAGAAGTCTGAAAATAGATTGCAGAGAACGATTGAAAATATGGACAATTGTTATAATACAAATAAATTATTAGAAAGTGTTACGAAGGAAGAAATGACCATTATTGATTGTCCTATTAAAAATGAACAATTTGTTTCGGAAGCCGATCATCGTAAAACAGGTAAAATATAAAAGTTTCATCATGTACGATTACGTATGTTAAATTATTCAATTAATCTTCTAATAGTATAATTATTCCAAATCTATTTTAGTAAACTTGCAACGTGTTATTAATGAACAATGCAATCTCGAAGATAGATTTCCTCAAGTACAAAAACAAGTGAGTGCCGTGTTTATATATGAAATCGTGATCGGCATCGTTGGCATTGAATACTTAAACCTCATTTTTTAACATACATATTATATATATATATATATATATATATATATATTTATTTATTTATTTATTTACGTCCAGAAGACTGGCAGGCCGTTACTTTTAATGGTCGATGAAAAAAAGATACACGCCCTCCCGATTAACATAGACGCTGCTTCATGTTATAGCGTGCAAATTCCTGTAGTTGCCTATCATAATGTACCTATACAAATACCAAATATACCGGTACAAAAGCAAAATGATATTAAACTTGAGTGCCAAAGCGATAGCACGAAAAATCTAGAATCCCCTGTTATTGACAATATCTATGATGCAACATCAATGTTGTCCAATTTGACTTCCGGTTCCAAGGAACATGAAAATGACAAATGTCCACTTAAAAGTAACGAATTATTTTTGACAATTTTTGTATCGCTTCGTAACATCGTGACCTAGAATTGTCTTTGAGTGGTATTTTTCAAGATCATTTAAAGGTCAACCTAGGTTTTCTTAATAGAATCATTCTTATATATATACAGGGTAGGCCATTTTAATCTTTCCACTAAAATTTCTCAAAATCCAAAAATTTAAGACAAAAATGTTTCAGATAAAAGTTGTATGGTTTTAAGGGGGACATAAGATGGTGTCATTGATTTGACCTTGAATAGCCATTTGAAGGTTACGTGAAGGTCAACTTCAATTTCTTAAATGGAACACTATATTTTTTCTTGCATACTTTTGTAGCTGACTTCGAGATCTTTCCAAAACACTACAATAAATATTTTTTCATGAAGTATTTTTCGAGTTATTAAGGCTGCAAATTTGCAGTATTTTGACATAAAATACAAAATATCTTGGGAAATATTCATTTTTCGATTATCATACCTTAATACTTTTATGCACAGAATAATGAGACGAATCAATTGGTGTAAAGAAAACACATAGTTGTCTTAAAGAAAAATTATCTAACTGCTTATTGCAATTTTCATATTTTTTTTTAAAGGTAACTATGTGTTTTCTTTACATCAACTAATTTATCTCATTATTCTGTGCATAAAAGTATTAAGGTATGATAATCGAAAAATGAATATTTCCCAAGATATTTTGTATTTTATGTCAAAATACTGCAAATTTGCAGCCTTAATAACTCGAAAAATACTTTATGAAAAAATATTTTATTGTAGTGTTTTGGAAAGATCTCGAAGTCAGCTACAAAAGTATGCAAGAAAAAATATAGTGTTCCATTTAAGAAATTGAAGTTGACCTTCACGTAACCTTCAAATGGCTATTCAAGGTCAAATCAATGACACCATCTCATGTCCCCCTTGAAACCATACAACTTTTATCTGAAACATTTTTGTCTTAAATTTTTGGATTTTGAGAAATTTTAGTGGAAAGATTAAAATGGCCTACCCTGTATATATAAGAATGATCGGACTATGATGTCAGTTTGCTACTTGAATGACAGTATATATATATATATATATATATATATATATATTACAATATGTTCAAAAAATAAAAAGATCTTTCAAAGACCTTGTACAATACCACCCGCAAGTAGCATCTTCTTCTTCTTCTTTCTTCCTTTCCATGGCAATGAAACGTATATATATATATATATATATACCTAGAATTGTCCTTAAGTGGTATTTTTCAAGATCATTTAAAGATCAACCTAGTTTTCTTAATGGAATCATTCTTTTATATATATATATATATATATATATATATATATATATATATATATATATATATAGAAGATGCTACTTACGGGTGGTATTGTACAAGGTCTTTGAAAGATCTTTTTATTTTTTGAACATATTGTAATATATATATATATATATATATATATATATATATATACTGTCATCCAAGTAGCACACTGACGTCATAGTCCGATCTTATATTTAAAATCGTCTTAAGTCCGAACTTAAGACGCCACGCAGCCATTTGATTGGTTGAACGGGATCTTAAGTCAACCTCCGACTAGACTTAAGACGGTCTTAAATATAAGATCGGACTATGAATACGGGCCATTAAACATCAAAATGACATCATTTTAACGTCTAATATGATGTTATTCAACGTCAAAATGACGTATACATATAAGTTACCTGGGCATTCAAAGGCACAATTCTAGTTGTAAGAGTCACGATATTATAACCCCTTGAAATCCTACAATTCTTTTGTTCGATACATTTTTAAAATGAATCATTCTGTATATACCCAAAAATCTATCATTTTTTATAGGCATTCCAGAACATAATGTAAAGACCGACAATATTTCCCATTGTGAAACCTCCGATTGGATACACGATAAGGAGAACGTTAACTCGAATGTATCGTTGAATCAGGATACGTTACTCGATAAAAATCATCATGAAAATGTTAATACGATGGATGATGCGAAAGATGGCGGAAATACCTTAAACTTGTCTTTCTTAGGAAGATTAAGAACTGTCGAACAAATAGGTGAAAATTGCAATACAGACAAGAAAGCATTGAACGAAACGGGAATAACGAAGATCTCACCGCGTCCAAATAACAGAATGGAAACGGAACAGAAGCTTACCTGCCGCGAAAAAACTAGCCCGTTAGATGAGTTGTCAAACGTAATGAATAACAAAACCCTGAAGAGAACGCCGATCAATTTGTCTCGAAAGGCCAAGTCATTCTTTCGGAAGAAATCCCGTTTGGCGATCACGGATTCCGATTGCACTCTGATCCTGCCCGGTTCTCGCCTTCACGTTAAAGGTAAACAATACGAGAGAACCCGCTTGAAGGTAAGTCAGCTGTTGCGTAAAAAAAACGGAATAAGTGGTACGAATTCTAATGTAGTGCGAATGAATAAGTCTGATAACGCGAAACAAGCAGGTCGTCGAATGAACTCTCTTTCGTTGACGAATCTGCAAGCCAAGGGGATCCATTCGAAGAACCGTCGTCCATCCCTCTGGAGACCCAGGAATTGTTGAATCAAAGTTACTGGGAATACTATTGGAGGCTCAGACGTAAGATCGCGTTGGCTGATAAACCGGATAACGCAGGAGAGAGAGATAAATCGCGTCCGAGCAAAGAATCACGAGAACGTTTACCGGAATCTCAAACTCTACAACAATGTTCCGTGCTCTCTTGCATGATCAATACAGTTCTTCGAGATTCGACAGCTGTCGATGGCAGATCGTCCTCGGATCCGATCGTTTCGACGTTTGTCGCGCGCGAGAACATTTGCCACGAGAGTTCCGGAGTGTTTGCGAAGAAAGTGAAACGAAGGAAAACGACGAAGCGAGTGAGCAAACGATTGCTCGGACTTAGAATTATAGGTATACATATTAAGAGTATGTATGTCCATTACAATAAGATTGATTCGAAGAGTAGAAATAATCGACCAAAACTAGCGTAATATTTTGTTTATTAAATTCACTACGTTTCGACCATGTGGTTGTGGTCCTTTTCAAGTTAATTATATATTTTAGTTAATTATATATTTTAGTGTTCACTTGAAAAGGACTACAACCACATGGTCGAAACGTAGTGAATTTAATAAACGAAATACAATATTACGCTAGTTTTGGTCGATTATTTCTACTCTCCTATTCTTATAACTAGTGACAAGGATTAATAATTTGGAAAGATTGATTCGTTTTAATCTTCCAAATATATATATATATATATATATTAGAAAATATATTAGGCAAAAGATTTTGAGAGGGACAATATTATAGCGAAGAATTGCCCTTGAATGGCGTTTTTCAAGGTCAATCAATTTCTTTACACAAATCGATTCCTTGTAATTATTAATATTCGGTATAGAAATTATAAGAGTACAATGACCAAAAAATGATAGTTTACGAGAGATATATTTTATACTTTAACTTTAAATTTTAATTTTTACATAAACTATATATGAAATATATATCTCGTAAAAATATTCATTTTTCAATGACCTTATCTCAATACTTTTATGTACAAAATAATTAAATAAATCAATTGGTATAAAGAAAACACAATTGTTTTTAAGAAAAAATATATACTTGCTAATTATACACTTTATATTTAAAAAAATTATAGAAGTTTTATTAAAAAAATTAAGTTGACCTTTAAATGATCTTGAAAAATTGTCCAAGGACAAATCTAGTTAACAATATATGTATATTATTCCTCTCGAAATCCTAAAACTTTTATCTGATATACATATTTTCTTTTAAAACGCTAATTTCCTAATATTTGCCTATTAAGTTTAAAATAAATCTGTATAATGAATGACGTACGATAGCTAATTCCTTTTTCTATTCAAAGAAAATCAAAGTATACTAAATTCTTCTTACTCTAGCCTTACTCGGTACCATAATATACTTCGCAGTCATATTTCTGCCTATGATGTACGATTATTTCTTTGACGAAGAATACGATAACAATTATGAGAATGCGAATTACATTGGACTAGCACTTCAATACGTTATATCATCATTCGGAGAAGCCTTCGATGGAATTGTTGATATCTTGAACACGGTTCTTTTACGTCCAGTAAGATTCGGTCGAACTTTATTATAAAACTTAAATTCTTAAAACCATTTCGATCTACACGCCTATTTATTTGTGTACATTTTTGTTCATATTTTTGTGTACATTTTTGTGTATCTATTGAACCAAGAAAATCGCATTCAATGTTCTGTAGTTGTATGTCGTTTTCAGCGTCCGTGTGGAAAATGTAACAACGTTATTTGAGTCCTTCGCGTGTCCATACATCTCTAATGTGTTTCCTCACTAATGCTTGTTCGTTGCTTCCTGTTTATACACGCCTTTAGTTTTTGCGTGTGTTTGAGTTATACACCTTCTACGTCGAACTTTTTATATTTTTCTAATGATATTTCTTACACTTGCCTATTGTACAACATGAGTACTTATACATAATTATATATTTGCGATTAAACTTTTCTTCTGGATCTAAAGTTATATATATATATTCTACTCGAATCCTCGTCTCCGTCTCTTATAGAATTTTTATTTATAAATAATTAATTTAAATAATAAAATGTGTGTATAGTATATATGTATATATATATATATGCTATTTTGACGTCAAAATGATGTCAATAGACGTCAAAATGATATTATTTTGTTACTTACGGGATAATCTCAATATGTTACAAGGAAATAATTTTAATCCGAAAAGTGTGTGCGACTAAAAAAATAATAAAGAAGATCGGATCATGTTGAGCTAAAGAAGATCATATGTTGAAATAAACTATCTAATTATAAACACGCCTTGCGCATTTATCATATCTCATGCCAAGAAACGTGTGTAGTGAACAATGAGATAATGGGATTACATTTAAAATCTACAAATATAAATATATATATATATATATACTTATACGCAAAGTTATAACCACGCAATTTTCTTCTTTGAATCTCAAAATAGAATAACCCGCGAAAATTTGAACTAACCCAGCAATATTGCTGCAAACTTGTGTGCTGTATGGGAAGTAGCAAAAAATCACAGCAAAAAATAATCTACAGTTTTATACCTCGACATATAATCAAGACAGAAGCTTGCCAAATTAAATACGTTTCTTTACTAATTTTCCATCTATCATTTTTGGATATATCATATAAACTTAAAATAAGGCTGTTTGAAAATATATATCTTGAATATACGCGCGCATGCTGCGTGTAATATTTTCACTAGCGGCTGCCTAATGTTGATTAGGATTCTAATGTTGATATGCCGGATTTTCCTTGCTTAATGATAGTATAAAAGTATAAAGTATGTATAATATAATAGTGACGTAAATATATTTTAATACCCATTATAATGGGTGCAAAGATAGACTTGCTTATATTGCCGATTGATAACACAGGATTAAATAAATAAAAGCATTTTAGATACGATATTTAATATATATTGTTCCGATATTTGTAATTTTTGTGTATTTGCAATTTTTTTATTTTAAGACTTGCGTCACCGACGTGGTATATATTTATTTATCTCGTCGGTAACTGCGCACAATAAAGAAAATATATATGTATATATATAGGAACAGGAATATTAATATAATTATAAATATATATTAGAAGAATAAAAATTATAAAAAATAAACGCAATAAAGTTTAAACACAAAATGAGAAGAATACAAAATAAAGAATACAAAATTAAACATTGATAAAGAAATGGTAAAGAATTAAATCTTATTTCAGGTCAAAAATAACTAATTGAAGTTAAAAATTAATACATTATAATTAATTAAACTAAGTTAAAAGTTTTTAACTTCAACTAGTTATTTTTGACCTTAAATACTTTTTAACTTTTCTCCCAAGTTAATTTTTAAAAACATTTATTTTAAACTAGAATTTTAATTATTATTTCTTCTAAAATTTATAATAACAAATAAAGAAATTTTGATTTTTATATAAAAATATATTTTTTGATAATTACAATTGATGACAAATAAACATTAAAATTAATAATACTTTAATTTAAAAATAATAATGTACGTTTATTTATAACTTATAAAAAAATAATGGTATTCAAAGGTAAACAAATATTAACTTTGGAAAAAAGTTAATAAAAGTTAAAAGTTATTAATTTTTTAACTTTTTTCTAATTAATTATTAATTATTTATTATAGACTAGACCTAAGGCCCGTTCTACAATACGTTGTATGTCACAGTCGGATGTCGGAACGTAAGCGATGATCCAATGAGAAAATTTCTTTTTCGAAAACAAAATTTCCTCATTGGACAATCGCTTATGTTTCGACATCCGACTGTGACATACGGCATATTGTAGAACAGGCCTAACTGACGCAACGTTCAGAAAAACGCGCACGCGCGAAAAACTCAACAGTGATGCCATCTCACCGCACTCGTCGTCTAGTGAATAAAGGCATCGTGCACGCAGAGAGAAAGATGAGAGCGGCCAGGCCGGCGTTTTGGCTATTACCGTTTTTACGGGACTGCTTGAAGCGCCCCTCGCACCCGTTTTTAATATCGGAACTAACTGCACACCCATTTTCTGGCAGGGTCGATAAAGTTTGTATTTGGTGCGAGTCCGTGCTACGCCCATAATTTTCGTGTTAACACAGTATCACGTATTCATTCTGTATATGTGCGATCTTTTCTCTTTATTTATATATATATATATATATATATGTATTTATATAATTTGTATAAAAACTAAAATATAATTATTAAAATATATATATATATGTATATGTGTAATGAAATATATAAATCTTATTTTAATTAAAATAAAAAGAACGATTAATTGTTCGACCACCTGGATTTTGGAATGTAATTTTTAATATATATTATATTATATTTAATATTTATCGCCGCTTCTATTAATATGAAGTGCAATGTCAACGTGCAATAATATACAATTATTTAAAGTTTCCATGCCTAATGTATCATGCCGGTATAAAGAACGTCAAGTAGCATGCGTAGCCGAGCAACTAAGATGACGAGCTGAAATCGTGGACATTTCAAGTTCAAACCCCTACCTTTTTCAGCTTTTTTTTTCACTTTTTTCAAATAAGTTATTATGTGTATAAATGTGTAATAATCAATATATCATTATTTGATAATTTTTTTTGTAATGGAACAAAATAAATTATTTTTTAATTCTGCAAGGAATTTAATTATTAATGCAAACGCCCACACACATAATTTAGATATTCAATTTTTTTTAGTTCAAATGTTTCTTGCAATCTGTATACGACAATCAGTCCACTCGCTGTGCCACAGATTGCATCGCATAATACGCTCAGAGTTATAATACGATAGAGATCGCTTTACGCTGTTTTTCCTTGAAATAAATAAATTTTACGTGTTGTGTACGCGTGTTTAGTATATTTGTTTCTTTCATATTAATTTTAACTATAATTAGTTTTTTAATTAAGATTATTTTAGTGTTAGTTGTTTATTTGTTAGTGTCCTGTTTTCTTTAATTTCGCATTTTTTAATTTTCTTTTTTTTTTGGTGTTGGTGCTAATTATTATTTTTATTTTACAATGTCGAGTAAACACCGGTTTTACGATAAATGTGTGTATTTAAATTGCACAAATATTAGGACAAAAGATGGAAAACGTTTATTTCGATTTCCATTACAAACGGGTGCGAGACATGATTTATGGTTACGCAATAGTGGTGAGTTTATAAAATTGATTTACTTATTTATATCAATATATAATATATATTGATATGATATATGAAACAAATATATATATATATATTCTTTGTTTTTTTTAATAAAATATGTCAGATATTATGTATGTTTACGTATGGATTACGTTGAAGTGTTTCTTTGCCGCGTTTTTCTGATCTCGCCGAACGGTTCGCGAATCCTGTGCGAATAAAAAACGATGCGCGTGTGTGTGTGCGTGCGATTGTGATGATCAGTTTCAGTTCGTCTTCAACGCTTGACGAGAGAAGAGGTCCCGAACTGCTGTAAGTTTATAAAAAATATTTTTGTATAACACATTAGAACGATTTTATATTATTTTTTTTGTCTAGAAAACGTTATATTAATAACCGTTATGAAAACGATCTTGACGACGGCGACGATGCCGGTGACGACCGTAGTATTAAAACAACAACAGAAATTCTTTCTGGAGTAGAATATCCTACAGTAAACTTAGCACTTTTATTTAGGTTTGTTATTTTATTTAGATTTATTAGGTTTAATATATTTTTATATTTTATATCATAAATGTATCTTATTATAAATTTAAAGATGTTAATTGTTGAATGTGTTGCATAATTTTTTTTTTAGGGCAGAAATTGAAAGCAATATGTGTGAAAATGAAGATGATTCATTTATAATAAAACAATTTAAGAAAACTATTTTACAGAACTTAAAAAAGCGATTTCCAATACACGAAGCCCATGTTTGCGGAGCACTTCTAGATCCGACTCTTCAAAATGTTAAAGGTGTTGCAGAATATCTTGCAGATAAGCAACAATCTGCTGAGGAATTTTTAGTATATATGATCCACAAGATAGTTCCTTTGAATATTAGAAATGAACAGGTAAAATTATTTTAATTAACATTAAGCGATATGTTATTAAACAATATTTAATTATTTAGATCAAATTAATTAGATCAAACAATATTTTAAAAAATTTTTATTAAAATAAAATCATATAGTTTACTAATAAATATAAAATTATTGTTTTTATAATATAATTATATTTTCATGTTTAATTCTGCTTTTTTACAATAGGTATCTAAGAGAGAAACAGATATTTATTCTAATAAATCATGTCAGCTTCTTGGAGTCAAAAAATTACGTTTGGAATTAGCTGCGAAACACGCAAATATTATTCCTCCTGAAGATCCTATTCTTATTGAAGTTAAGAAGTATTTACATATATATCAGAATCTATCGAGGATCCTCTACAATGGTGGAATAAAATGAAGTTATCACTGCCAAATTTGTACAAATTGATGTGCTGCATTTATGCTATTCCGATCACAAGTTCAGCATCTGAGCGTGCATTCTCTTCTGCAGGTTTACTTATCACAGCAAAACGTTCTGCGTTAAAACCGTCAAAATCTAACAAAATCCTATTTATTCATGATAATTTTAAATTAATAAAAGATATATATTTAAAATCTATAAAATAAGTTATGTATAAGTTTATCCAAAAAACATTGCTACAGTTATATAATTATTACTTGCAATTTCTTATTAATTAATGTATAATTTTTAATGAAAAAGTCTTTCATATGTAAAAAGTTAAAAAGTGATTGATATTTTATTTTTGTTACATATGATATTAACACAGATATTAATCTGTGATATTAATGATTAAAAAATGATGTTATTTTGTGTTTTCACGAGTTTCACAGTTTTTCACATTAATAAATATATTTTAAAAATAAATATTGTGTTTCATCTTTATTTATCTTATAATCTTATTATAAATGTTATAATATGTATTGTTATATGTACGTAGTTGTACGTAAGTTATATATGTATATGTATGCATAATTATATATTGTTTACTATTTTTATTTATTTATATTATCTGTACTTATTAAAAACAAAAATTAAAGTTTATTCTAAATTAGAGAAATGTAATTAACTTTGAAATTTAATATATAATTTCTACCATTATTGAACATAATAAACAATTAAAATAATTGAAAGGTAAAAGATTTTGAAATGTAAAAGTTAAATAAAAAGAGAATAAAAATAAACTAAAGAGAACAATATAAAATAAAACATATATTTATGTTTCTTGATAATTTTCAAATATTATATATCTATAATCAGTCTGTTTATTAAATTATTATAGTTTAATTCCTTTATTTAAAAAAAAATATATATATATGTTGACGCCGTTATTCGCCGCCGCCGCCGATAAATTATCATCCGCCGATTTCGCCGCCGCCGAAAGAAAAAATTGTCGGCGAATTCGCCGCCGCCTAACTATTTAGTATCGAACGCCGCCGCCAATATAAAATAAAACGGCGCACAGGTCTACGTGGACACGTGCTTTTTTGGTGAAAAATCTTCGAGAACCTCGTTTTCTTCAGACTCGAACAGTGAACCTAAGAAAGTGCTTGGAACCACTGAAAATTTTTCGATTCGACGATTAAAAGCGTGTTTTAAAAATTATGGAAAATTACGTATTAAGCGACATCAAACCGGCTGACGTACCTCTACCCGATGACGGTCTGTCCGCTGAACAATTGTTCGCCGCTGGTGACGGTCTAACTTACAACGACTTCATCATCCTGCCGAATTACATTGACTTTACGGCGGACGAGGTCGATCTACTGTCACCCTTGACTAGAAAAATCATGCTGAAGGCACCCCTTGTGTCCTCCCCCATGGACACTGTCACAGAATCGGACATGGCCATCGCCATGGCCCTGTCAGGTGGGATCGGGATAATTCACCATAATTGTACCGCCGAATATCAGGCTAACGAGGTGCACAAGGTACTTTGGAAGAGACTCTTCTTAGAAGAATTGTTTCAAGTTTTATGAAGAAGAACCCACTGCGCTAATCTTACATGAAATTGAATTTGCGATGATCAGCTGATTTTCTCATATGTTCTTTTTTAGGGATCCCAAATCTGAAGGATTTGCAAAAAACATATATTTAAATTTATATATATATATATATATATATATAATATACAGGGTGTTTCCAGGTTGAATAGCTTTCCAAACTTAAAATATGAATTTAGGACTTTAAAACAAACATTTTATCTGGAAGTTTGCTTGCAAACGCTTCCTTGAAGAGATTTAAAAAATTTTGAACTATAGGAATGAACTATAGGATCCTCTATTGCTTTACACTAATCAATTTAATGTAATTATTAAATATTTTGTTCAAAATGACCTCCAGCGTGGAGACAAGCATTGCACCTACCAAAACAGACTGAATAGCTGACTGACATTGTCATTATTTTAAACAAAATATTTAAGGATTGTAACTGTCCATTATTTGAACCTGTTATATCTCTTTCATCAATCATAAGCTACAACATGTAAGAAAACCAAGTTTGATCAAGATTCCGGTTTATTTAGGATTAGCACAGAAGTCTTTCTCACTTTCTTCACATATATCATTCAAAATTAATTGTATTTTATTTAAATGTTCATTTAAATATTCACACATATATATTTGTACATTTATAGGTAAAGAAATACAAGCATGGTTTTATTAGGGACCCAGTTGTGTTGGCGCCGCACCATACAGTTAATGATGTTTTGAACGTGAAGGCTGAGCATGGTTTCAGCGGAGTGCCTGTCACAGATACAGGCAAAGTTGGTGGTAAACTGCTAGGAATCGTTACTTCGAGGGACATCGACTTCCTCGAGCGTTTACCGAATTATCACTTAAAACACTC